CGATCTTGTCTTTAATATCGGTTATCATCCACCCGACCACGAAATCTTCAAGAACCTTAGCCAGGCAGGGTGTCAGTGAGATGGGTCTGGTGTCACCTTCACAGGTAGGAGGTTGTGATTTTGGAACTGGTATGATGTCTGAGTCTTTCCATATTGCAGGCACGATTCCAGATGAAAGTGATTCGTTGAAAATAGTTGCAACAGGTTCGGCTAATTCATGGGCATACTCTTTCAGGATACGACAGGGGACGTTATCTGGGCCGTGAGCTTTAAAAGGTTTAATTTCTAAGAGCTTTTTACATACTTCATGCGGTTGAACTGTTGGAGCAGGTTCTTTGGCCGGAAGAAATGCCGGGAGTGTCGCTAAATTAAGTGGTGGAATGTCACTATTCACCGATGCATAGAACACATTCAAAGCTCTAACTAATTCTGATTGATCCAGAGTTCTTCCATCATGTTCAAGCGAGAAGGAGTTCTTTCCAGATTTTCCTACCATTTTATTTACGATTTTCCACCACATACGGCAGTCATCCTTCTTTAAATGTTGTACCTTTGTTTTGTAGTACGATATTTTCCTCGCATTGATTTCATGTTGGACCTTATATTTCAACGATTTCCACAAGATTGTATTATAACTATGAAACGCCTTTTGTCGATATTTGATAAGCTGTTTTATTGCAGGTGTTATCCATGGTTTATCGGTGTGATGACGTGTTGACGTCTGTTGTGGGAAGATTCGGTCAATACTTTCTGTTAACTGGTTTGTAAACGAGATTGCCAAGCTATCAACAGTAGGGTTGGGTTCAAGGTCACAAAACCAATTATGTGTGGTAACCCATCTTCCGAAAGCATCTAATCCTGATCTGGGATAGCGCCGTACTAAGGATTTAACAGGTTTTGCTTGGATGTTGTGGCTGGGAATGCTATCGACTGAAGGTAGCCAGTGTACAATATTATGGTCACTGGATCCTAATGGAGCAAGGACATTAGGGCGGTCATATAAATTACACAGGGTGTGCGGAAATACCAGATTTATTTCGAGTGTTGAACATGATAACTCATGAATGAGCCGCAGCGAACGAGTGAGATATCATGTTCAATACGAGATATAAATCTGGTATTTCCAAGCACCCATGTATTTTTCTGTTTATTATATAAAGGACAGTCTTTGAAAAGCGATAATTTTTACAGAAAAGCGATAATTGAAAAGCGATAATTTCACAGGTGAGATTATCATGAATAATCTCACATGTGAGATTATCACTTTTATCAGTGCTCGAAATCACTATAAAGCACTATGCTTTATATAATAAATAACCATAGTTCACTGGAGGGGCCAACATGGGAGCTGGGCAGTGCATCTTCCCCCCGCCCCACACACACGCACAAACACACCCCATCCAATTAATATTTATAAAGGTGGCACTGCCAACAATGGCGAGAAAATATTTAGTTACATGCAACAAACCTATGACTTTGACTTTTCCTGACCAAAATACAGAAGCGAAGTACAGGAACAAAACGTATATTGGAAAGCATATCAGTACAAAGATGGTTGGAGAAGACAAACGTGAAGACATCACTTGCCTCTACAAACATGCTGAAGGATCTGCAGAAGAAAGAGCAGCATTCCAAAATGCTCACAGTTTTGGCCAGGGTTCAGGACTGAGAAAAGCCCTTTTAAACAAAGATGAGGAGGATGGAAATGATTTTGAAATTGGTATATATTGTGTTGCATTAGATTTCATTGCATTACAATTCATTTAAATGCCTTGTCTTGCAGTTGTATTGCATTTTATTTCATAATTATAATGTTCGTGATTTTGTATCGATATCAAACACTTAAATTATAACAATAGATACCAAACAACTTCTACAAACAGCATAGAACGTATCGAATTACTTTTCTGGTCCCCTAGCCTCGTGCTTCTAAACATACTCTAACTTTCTAGCCACGTGCGTGCTAATGTCAATAATGTCAACATATTGCATCAATATAAACTCTAGTACCGACTATAACAAAATATGCATATAATGTTTAAACTGTATCTGAATTTGAATTTTCGCGCCAATGTGCCAAAATAAACACGTTATTTAGTGGCAGTTTTTAATTACCTATAAATTTAAAGTGAACGTCCTGAAACCTGCACTCCTTTAACCAGGAATTCTCTTGAGGTGCTGTCATGATAACCAATTTATTGTGAAGTAACAAATGAGAGTTGTGCATGTAGTTAACTTAAGGTTATACAGGACACCCTTTTTGGCGTTTTGTGGAAAATCGCTAGTGCCCGCTCAAAATCAGTCCGATTTTCATCAAATTTTCACCAAATGTTAGCCAGTGCATGCAAAATATGATAAAGTTGTAAAATTGACAAACAATAAAATAATGTAAGAATTATTCAGGAAAATCTTAAGTCACGGTACCTTTACGCTTTTGAGTTAGGTTCCTGCTGGTTTTAAGATATAATTATGAAAATATCATTTTTATACAGTAAAATAGTTGTTCTAAAAAATTGTAACGATTAGTACAAAAAAGAGTACAATTAGTATTAGAAAATTGTGTTCGGAAATTGTTATTTATTTCGTCATTCCGCTGATATGGTGATTTCTTTGACGACTGCAATATATTTCTGAATCGTTTGTGTGAATTGCTCCTTGTTATTAAAATATCCAAAATTAGAACAAAGCCGAACACGATTTTGAAACTGATGTCTTTAGCTATGTCCTGTGAAAATGTGAGAAAAATTCGTCAAACCCCGCAGGAGCACAACTCGTGGAGAAAATTGAATTTGAATATTACATTTTCAATGTTTTTCTTATTGCAGCGAAATGTATTTTATTAAATAACTCCGCGAGTTTTCAACATTTTTCGTCCAAACTTGGTCAGATAGTAGAACTAGTCTAATGCTTTCATGGAAACCAATAAAACAATTTTAGGCAAAATTAACACTCAAAGGTGTTCTGTAACCTTAACATTCATCAAACAATTAACAAAAAATTTTTGTAGTAAATTTTTTTCTTCTATAAGGCTTATTCGTAAAGGGTCACTCACCAGAATCAATTACGCTCAATTAACATCATTACATGCCTTAAGCTGAATGAAGCTTAAAGCTTCGGTCTATTCTCTTTCCTAAGCATCTCCTTCAGGCTTGCTTCTTAAACCTCATTATTCATTGGGTATTTATGTTTTATTCGTTTTAGTTAGGTCATTGTGCAGTGATATAAAAATTCCTTAAAATAATCTCATCTTGCATTTTAGATCTAACTATCAAGCCTGGAACAATGATCCAAAATGGCACAGATTTTACATGTACAATTCACCTTAGAAATATCTCACATCAAACTTCGATAGTCAATGTCACTGTTGTCGTCACCACAATAGAATATACCGGCAGGATGAAAGCACTCGTTAAGAGAGTGAAGTTGGAAAATATAACTGTTTCTGCTGGAGAAAGTATGTACTGTACAAGTTAAAGTACGTTAAATGCACAGCGTCACCTGCTGAGCGATGTGTTTTAATCGGCGTAAAACTTGAAGATCGGAAGTTCAGAAAATTTTTAAAATTACGATTCAAACAAATAACGATAAAATCGTGGAAAAAGTGGGATGGGATTTGCACCTCTACTCTACCCCAAGGCATTTCAACAAACCATATGTTCCCCTTTTCCGTGGCCTCGCCCCTTTTACTTTAACGCCAACGTAATTTTAATTGCTGTATCTTTTTAGATGTGGAAAAAGAAATTGCAGTGAGTGCCGATGAATACGTCAGCAAACTTTCAGATCTTAATTTCATGAAAATTGTCGCCATTGCAAAAATTCTGGAGACGAAGAAGCAGTTCATAGAGGAATGCAAAATACAACTTTTTCATGCTGAATGTATTGCTATTCAGGTATAAGAATTGAGTAATTATGCCAACTATAATCTCAAGAATAGACTAGGTATAGAATAACCAAATGTACACTAGCTGCCATAGCCGCATATATAAGCGTATCAGTATACGCGGGTGCATGGAAAAATATTAGGGGGAGCAGAAAGAAATTTGCACGACTTATTTTTTCCGTGTAAAATTCCCAAAATTCTTGTCGATGGGGAAGGGGGAAATATAACTTCAATCACATTGCAACGTGCAACTCGCAATGTTGAAATGTTTTCTCATTGAATGGATTGTGAATGGTTTCCTATTGAATATTTTTCTGTGTTCTTATTGGCTGGCTCTTGGGGAAACATTTTGCGCCAAACGGTTGCATTTGCGGTTTTATGCTATTTACGACAACGATCCTTGCAGGTTGCATGCATAAAATATATATTATATTGCTCAGTGCACGTAACACCAAGCAGGCGCTCTCTCCTCCGCAGAGGCTTTAGTTTTCTTAGGATTTAATATTACGATGAGATACATTTCACTACACTTTACATGGAGGATCTTGGAACACGAGCGTAGCCGCTGGGCGAAGGAGCGCAGGCGGCAAAGGGAAAGGCGAAGGAAGGCGCGAAGCAGGCGTTTATTTGCTTGCGGAAAGCAAGGACGGCGAGAAAAATGAACGTCTGCCGTAATACCATTGCGAAAAGCGTTTTCGTCCCTTTACAGTGATTAACATTTGCAATTAGCGATAATAAACAGTTGAAATATCTGCAGGACTCGGCAAAACGTCTTCTCCACGCAGTAAATGGACAATTGACTTTCTCTGTCATGATTTTATTAACAACTATTTTTGAAGCCTAAACGACTTATCAAGGAGAGCTTCTTCCAACACATGTCAATCTGATCCACTTCACTGTTTTCTTAGTTCTTAGACCCAGTAAAAGCTGGTCAACCAACTCGTGTTGAAATTACATTCACCAACAAACTGAATGTTCACATGACCAACCTAACTTACTGTGTCAATGGAAAAGGATTGACAAGAACCATTTGCCAACAAAGGTATAATTTTGTAACTAACATACAAATATCCCAGAAGTATGGTGAGATTAAATTACTTTTAATTACAATTTTAAAGAATAAAAAGGTTTCATAAATGCACGTTTACACGTAGTCATTGCCAATAAGGTTGTCCAGAACAAGTATATGTAAGTATATAAATATCGAACACGTGACTATCATTATATGCGTCAACCATAGGCGTACCGGGCGGGGGGGGGGCGGTAGCCCCCCCCAGTTTTTTGGGCAGTCGGGCAATATTCGATCAACAGTCGGGCAATTTTGGTGTATAATAAAAATAAAAGGGACAAATTCTGTCAATTTAGTCGAAATTTCAGTCAATTTTGTGGTCAATTATGTCATATTTTGAAAATTTGTGATGTTCCGAAAAATTTTGGTATGTCCGGAAAAATTTTTTACCGCTAAAATGGTACACTGACCGAAATTTTTTTGGCGAGGGGGGGGAGGTCGCCGAAATAATTTTTCCGGAAAAAATTTTTTGGTACTAGTCGGGCACAATCCCGAAAAGTCGGGCAAATTTCTTTACGCCCCCCTGATTTTTTCCTTCCGGTACGCCCATGGCGTCAACTCGCGTGGGGTTTAACATTGCGTGTTAGTTACTGGAACGATTAAGTGTGGCGAATTTGTAAAATGCCAAGTCCGTATTTGGATAATTTACGCTGGAAATGTATGCAGACATGCATATTTCGCAACCTCGTCCCCAGGGCCTTTTAAAGAAAGATGCGAAGGGCAGCAAAGGCCCTGGTAAAGGCTGGTGAAATAATCCACAAATTGTGGATTATTTTGTCACGTGATATATCGGAGCAAATACTATACAGGGGGGTGCGATCGCGGATCGCTTTAGCTACAATATATTCGTCAATATAATGCATAAACACCGAAATCGACAAATAAAGAACAAAAATCTATTTTAAAATGAAAAAATCTGTTAAAGTTCTTCCAAAAGTATTGAATAAATTTGAAATTGTCTTCAAATTAGCTCTGAGAACCTTGGTTGAACTGTAAAGGAGATCTATTAAATAGACAAAGCAACAGTGCAAAACGAATGGATCGATAGAAGTATTTACTATGAATTTAATACTGTCGCAAGGAAATTGCTGCCTCGATTGTGAAACAGATATGTAAAATCACTTTAATTTAATAATATGGACTCTCAATACACCATATCCATGATCATCAAAACATTTAATAGTTATTGTTGCTACAATAGATCTTTCTTGCAAATGTCAATATCATACAGTATATTTAACAGTTAAAGGGGTGCAAGACCCAAAGAATGTCTGAAAAACAAAGAATGTCAACATCGTATGCACTTGGAATTTAAATGCTTATGTTAGCCATATGCCCTGAGTATAACCTGGTTGACCTCCATGGTTAATTAACATTTCCTGAATTTAATTGAGTTGAAATATTTTATTTGATTTTCATTCTTATCCCAAGAACATTGTGAACACACATATAATGCTTTGGGTTTAGATTTCAAAGGCCAAGCTTCAAAACAAATGTTGTGATCTTAATGATCAGGCATTCCCAAACAATTACATGCATGAGGGTCAAATCAGACAGAAAGCCTCCATATGCTTTATCAAGGCTGAATAATATAATGAGATGGAATTAATTTCCTCATTATACTGTTAACAAGCTCTTGTTTTTGTTTGTAATCAATTACACAAATTACTTCCCAGAACATTATTTAAGGAGATTATTTGACAAGTCAGCAGGTACATTTCCTGAGCCACAATTGGGGCAATTCAGTGTCACTCATCACAACAGGCGCTCAAAATCACTCACAACATACAACAGGCAGTTCAGCATCACTCACCACAACTGACTGTTCAATAATGTGTACCTCAGTAGGCAAATCAATAATCAATATTTTGCTCAGATCAACAACAAATATCAAAATTGAACTCATTCTCAAAACATGATACAATAACAAGGGGTCTCTTCTGGACAAATACAAGACACCTGATGTCAAATGTATCAAGTGACAAGATTATTCATCTCTTTTAATATAAATACATTTTGCCGCCTTGTAATAAAGTACTATTTGTTGTTGGTGACCATCAGTTGAGCAATTTAAAACATTCGCAGTGTATGCTTTATCAGACCTAAAGGTACTTCGCTTCACCTCGTATCTTTATACCTGATAAAACTATGGTACATAAAATAATAACTATGATATTTAGCCTGAATATTATTATAAATGTATGAAGGATATTATACATATATTCTTGATGCTCAACATTATCCGATAATCATTTAACATGAAATCCGATAATCATTTAACTACTGAGAACTGTGTGAATTCCTGAATTACTTATTGTTACAGACTGTACTGACCTCTTGCAATTATGGTTATTAACCAAAATCTGACAATGTCTCTAGTTAACCCATTGAGCTGCAATGTGCCCCAGTGTGCCCTACTTACTGAAATTGACTGATTTGTGGTTTATGGTTTTTTTTGTGGCAATTCTTTGGGCATCACAAGTGCATTTGTATATCTTAATACACTGTGAGAATACAAGTATTAGTATTTAAATGACACAATATGATGTAAGTTACCTTTCAGGTATATAATTTGTATACAGCATCAGTGGTGCAACTTAACTTTTTTGACCACTTGCCCTCAGGGCAAGTTGGACATGAAAATTGGTTGCCCTGAATAAAATCCACTTGCCATCAGGCAATGGGGTACCTACGCGGGCCAGTATAAATTAGAGAGACAACATATCCACTCATTGGACTAGTGGCATTGGCTATATGTTACTGCCTCAGATCTAAACTACCTCAGATCTAGCTTTGGCTCACATATTAAACAAAATTTGAATCAAGTACACTTGTTTAATGTAACACTAATCACCATTATTTATTTTTTTATTAGTTTTACAATAAGAAATTGAAGGCACAGACAACAGGACTAATAAAGTCCCAAATTAAGTCCTGCCATAAATGAAGTCCTGCCATATTTCGTTCGGTTATCATATTATGAATAAACATTTAATAACCAAAAAGAGAATCAAATGCATAATAACCAAACAATTTAGATGAATTTGATGCAGATGATTTGCCAGCTTGAACCAATATCGTCGAACAGCCTTTATTCTATCCGACAATAATAATATGAACTGAAAGCTGGCCAGCTTTTTGTGGCAAAGCAACTTGCCCGTTCGGGCAACCAAGAGGAAACTTTTACTTGCCCATCATGATATTCACTTGCCCCGGGCAAGTGTTAAGTTACACCTCTGAGCATAGTTGCCATTTGGCAGCTGTTGGTCTGGTTGAAGTGCTCAGATAATTTGGGGAGACCCGTGGCATGCTCTCTCAACAGTGAAGGTTCAAAAACACACATGCCGGAATGCTTATAGAATACCTCGCCATTTTTCCGCATTCATTGACACATAAATAAGTACAAGAATCACTTCAAAATAGTTTAAGGTAAAGTTTAGAGATTAAATCATATGAGTATGTTAGTTTGGTTTACAAGGAATTAATAGCGGTAAGGTGTGAAAGTTGTGGGTATTCTATAGTTGTATCAAAAAAGTGAAAAACCAAGCTAACCACAATATAACGCTTGCCACAATGTCAAAGAGCATAGTTGCTGACTAAGAAACATCTATTAGACCATGTGCAGTACTTGAGTCTTGTGATAATATCAGTGATATTGCTTTTGTATTATACGATATACTGTAAACTTGCTGTTAACATATTATATTATTAATATTCATGGTTGTCAAATATCATAAAATCAACACACAAAATTCACACACAAAGGTTTAAAATAGTGTATATTGGTATAAACGTTTAATAAAAATGCATACATACGTAACCCATGGTCGGCATGGAATTTTGTCACTTGGCACAGTACTTTAATGTTTTTAATGTTTGTCCCACATTAAAATATATTGAGTCAATGACAGTGCAACTGTTCATATTAAAACGTTCTAATCACATTTTACATGCACATTTGTATTCAGTAGTAATCTTTTCATAAAGGTACATCAAAGTCCCAAATCAAATCTTCACTGACAGTAGTGACAGTATGTTATTGACTCCCAAACGACAAATATTATAAAACACGCTTCCAAGCTGAAAAGAAATATTTACTGTTGTCAGTCAATTAGACTCTTCTCTTTGAATCTTGATCTTCCACAAGTATTGCTGTTGATTATATTCCATATTTTTTTGAAGAACATCGCAGACTATATATTTACAGTATTTCCACTGTCAGTTGAAAAGTTTATCATCATAGTTTCAGTCTCTGGTTTCAGTCGCAAAAGGTTAATTCTATCGCCCCTTTGCACGGCCATGTTTGATAAAATCAAAGCGGCCCGCACCCCCGGTTTGAAAAGTTAAATTTCTGAAATATTCAAAATTTGAAGCATCACGTGACCAGCCTTTACCAGGGCCTTTGCTGCTTCGCCTCCTTCCTCAATAGGCCCTGGGGACGAGGTTGCATATTTCGGCGGTATGCAATTTTCGGCGCACTACGCCTCGGCAGCGCAGCTTGGTAGACGTCTATACCTACACGTACATATATATACGTGCAGCTTTGTACACGTACGAAAATATAGTCAAATAAATTTAGAGACGCTTGGTTTAAATTTTTATCACTTCCAACGTAAATGTCTACAAGTTCATGAATAAATTACAGCAATACTTTCTAAATATTTTAGTGGTAGCCTTGGTGTTGGTCAAAAAGAACAAATCATATTTAGGATTATACCATTTAAACCTGGCAAACATAGATTGAATGTTGATATCGACAGTGCAGAAGTGAAAGATTTGAGAAGTTCCTTGGAAGTGGAATGTCAGTAAGAAACATATTGTATAAATCACAATCCTTGCATTAGTCAGATATTTCTTAGTAATATAGCGAACAGTATAATTGACGTAATATGCAATATAATATTATTCAGACATGTTAGTAGTTTGAGAAAGTTCGATGCATGGTTTCTTGTAAAAATTAAAAATTCACGGTAAAAATTCAAAATAAATGTTTAATTAATTATATGTATGAGGTATGTATCCACTTTTATGCAAAATTCCCCAGATTTGAATGGTTTAATATCAGACATACTATACACACAACAAATCTCTCTACAGGGTGTATCAAAATAAACGCAATTCATCTTTTGTGCTTAATAACTTTCGAAATACTATTTCTAGTTAAACGCTTTTAGGCTTACTTCAAAGCCTGTTCTTTTCTCTTTCAAACAAACTATTATCCTTGTCTCCAATGCTAGTAATAATTGCACAGGAAAAGATTTAGTAAAATCTATCATTTTTAGTTGCTGTTTAATTATGCTATAGTTTACTATGTTATTGTTTAGTCGGTTTAAATGTTAGAATTTTCTTCTTTAAACTTTAATGTTGTCGTCACTACATCTGGAAAACTACGTAAGAACAAATTAAAAGTATTTTAAAAGGGACCAGGTTGTTTGAAAATCCTAAACGAATGCTAAAAATCGTCAAAACATTCTGGTGTCTGAGCCAGAGTGTCATCGAATTGCGATGTAATGTAAACAGAAATTATAGCAAGTTGATGTCAGTCAGCTTAGATGGTCCAAGCCAAAATTATATCGCATTTGAAGTTTCAAACTGAGTTAAAAATAGTGGAAGAGAAAAGCCATAATTATACTTATCGTTACAATCCATTAATAAAATGCAACATTTTTTGTTTTAATGAAAAAAATCAGTTATTTTCATGAGAACGATTTGTTATTCCATCTCAATTTTTTTAATCTCCAATCGCAATAACGTAAAGTATTATTACCCGCGAACCAATGGGTCAAATTTAAGAAACAACCCACTGTTAGAAAGCTGAATGGCTACGCTTTAAAATGAATGTAAACTTTAACGTTTTCGTCTATTATTTGTTTAGCAATTTACATTTCAGTCGAGGATTGCGCTTTTTTTGATACACCCTGTATAGTGGACTCAGCCACGTATTTCGTTGTGCTGTTAATACATTCTTTCGAAATAAATTAACATCTACTATACTTAAATGTACACATCTGTCACATCAGTAACTAAATTTCAAAAACTGCTTTTAGATAATGTAAAAAGTAATTTTAAAAAATCAGGTAATTTGTACCCTTAACACCCCCCAAAACGACAAACTCTTCGCTACGTCCCTGGCTCCAATGTGAATTCATTTGTGATCCCTTCTGTTTTTTAATCGTTATAAACATGCGATTGTATTCCAAAAATTATATACTTGTTATCGAACTTTGGGTGGGGGACGGGCTCAGAGGCATCAGCGCGAACCAAACTGTGATATTCGAAATGTATGCGTCGATAAAAAATTATTTTTAAAAAATCAATTTTTTAACAACCGCTCTGGATTGACTTTGGGCTACAACTTCGAAGTTTAGCACTAGTCTCGACAACGAAATTGAGGAAACACAGAGCAAAATCGTTTTCTCAGTATAAATAAGTGGAAAACTAGATTATTTTAATGTAAAATTGACGAACAAAAATGAACCTATTTTTAGGTAATGTGAATTTGTAAATTAATTCATTTAAAAATGTCTATAAAATATTTTTCTTGAGTTATATTATAAAAGAAATAGACAACTTTTTTCTGTGTTTCTATGCAGTTATAGAAATACGGCTTTAAGCCAGGTTTCCATATGGTCGTAACGGTCAAAAAGTCAGACTAAAATAGTTTTTCCATATTAACCACGTATAAATCATCAATATTCTCTATTTATATAATCACCCTATCCCTATTTTCAGTTCTAAACTGTTATAATGTATTTCGGCTGTTGAGAAAGATCGTGACGCAATCTTGATCACCATTACGACAATATGGAAACCAGGCATAAGGCCTCAGTTACACCATACAGGATTCGCTTGTCATGACATCAAATTTAACGGTTTCAGAAATATCTTTAACACTTAACATATAATATAACAAAATAAAACGAAAACTGTTAAAGGGAACTTTTATTGTCAGACATTACTCCTGAATGGCCCGGCGTACATGCAGTATGTTGATGTCGCAAAAAGTGAATCGGTATATCGTGTAACTGAGGCCTAAGGATTATCCCATGCACTGATTATCTCGTTCTTCCAAACTCCCACGCGTGTTTCTATAACTATTTAGTATAATTTCAGTATTGAAATATGGCCTTTGAGCATTCGGATTGGCTCCCTTAGTCCCTCAGCAGTAACTCTGCATGAGGCAATAGTTACTGCTTAGACTACTCTCAGCAGTAACCATTGCTTTTCCCATTTTCTGGAGTAAATTATTTATGCAAATTACATTCATAAAATCAACACGTGTATTAGTTGTATTTATAAATAAAACTTTTTCAATACTGAAATTATACTAAAACAATAGTCGCCTCAGGCTCGGTGATCACCTCGCCTTCGGCGACTAATTGTTAAATAGAAACGCGGAAAATGTTTCTATTTATTACAGTCAAACCGGATGTTCTCTTGCATGCAACATTGCAATATTAATAGTCCCACTATATTGCAATTTTGATAAGGAGATTGCAAGCGACAAGAACAAATTTAAGTTGAAATTCACAAAAGATTTGTAAACAAAGCTTCTGATTGGAGTATTAGCAAAGAGGAAGCCACTCAAATAGTTTATTAGCAACTGGATTGGTGCTTCCCTTTTTCTTAAAGTCCAATCAGAGGCTTTATTTACAGATCTTTTGTGAATTTCAACACTTCGCGTTGCTTGCAAATTGCTCAGAGCAATCTCCCTATATCAAAATTGCAATATTGTGAGACAATATTGCAATGTTGCTTGCAAGAGAACATCCGGCTTGACTGTAAAAATATCACTGTTCGTTTAGGCGTAAGAAAAAAATACCTGTGGTTCCGGTTTCATATCGTGAAAAAATTAGGGTCGGTAGGTCGGAAATAATTTTTTTTTAATATTATTTTCATGGTTTTGGCGGTTTTTTGCTGGGCGATTTGCAGTAGAGTCCCGACATCAATATTAACTAGAGATACGTATTTCCTATGGACGAATTTAGGCAATTTGGTTCAATAATTAGTGTGACAACAAACGCCATTTTGGCACGCTGTATGAGCAGCCCGCAACCACCTGGAGAAAATAAGGTCGCACGGTCAATCGCGCTGAAAAAATAATAGGGTCGGCAGAAAAAAATAGGGTCGGTCGGGAACCGGAACCACGGGTATTTTTTTTACGCCTTATCGGCTGTGGTCGTTTCCCATTTTCACCCAGCAGAAACTGCATCAAACACTTGTCCCGTTGTACTGATCAATGCCAGTTGTAAGAGCAACATCTTTGTAATCCATCGCCCATTTTGTTTCCACGCCCATAAGGTCTGTCAGCGATTCATGGGAACTTTGCCCGTTCTGTATTCTTGTTGTGCTGATATTTGCTGAATTATATGTTATATCGGAGCGCACAGATTGTGCTTTCAGCCATTCTTCAGTCTCGTCCAGAATTGACTGTGTTTGTGTTGACAACAAGTATGGATCTGCTCGTTTCCTACACAAGAAATCATAATATAATTTAGAATCCTTGGCACAGTTTTATAATAAACATACGAAAGTTTTAAGCAATATTTCAAATCCAGCTATGAGGACTGCATGGACTAGAGTTCAAGTCCGCATCTGGCCCAGTCCGAGGTGAATTAATTTTGATTCAGTCCAAGGACTGAATTAATTTTGATTCAGTCCCAGGATTGGATCAGTATACTTCACCAGGTATCCAGTATTATCATGTGAGCAAAATAAAGCAATACGGTTGGCCAATTTACTCATGAATTATTGAGTTTGAGATTTATATATAATTTCGCAACCTCAATTCATGAGCTGCCAAGCTCATAAGAAACCAGAACCATATTGTTGTACAAGATAATAGAGAGCTTTATTATTTAGCAACGAGTACGACTGCAACATTCATTGTTTGTAAATACTCGCCATCATCTTACGTTAGATGCTTGTTTTACTACGTGAGTTTTCAGAAATCCGGTTGTCAACGGATTTGGCAACGGTTACGAGATTTGTAAAGCGTCAGAAAAGCTACAGAAATACCTATCTCGAGCAGCCCGAGTATTAACGGGAGCATCTTATGATATACGGACGGCTGACGTTTTCGAAACACTCGCTTGGGAAACTTTAGAGATAAGGACAGATTATTTGAAATCGATTTTTACATACAAAATCTTAAATAATCTCGCTGCACCTAATTTGAATAATTTGTTTCTAAAAATTAGTAATTGTCCTATTTCATACAATTTTAGTGTTACCATTGTTCAGATGAACAATGCTGAACAATATTGTTAACAACCAGGAACAATATGGGCAGCAAAATATTATTCAGGCCTGTTTTCATCAACATTGTTACAGGCTAGGCGTTTTTTCCTGTGTACTGTGTACGCTAGCAGGAGCTGTTGCCAGTGATAGGCAGACCAAGGAAGTATTTTTGTGCTAAATCTGCATGTGCATAAACATATAGTGCTCTAGCTGACCATGGTTTTAAATTCTAGGAATAATATCTGTCAACCATACGTTGTTGCGCACATAGTGAGACATGGGTGTTAAGGTTTCCTTCAAATTTTCAATAGCAAATCTTCATTCAAACGAATTTCCTGCTGCATGCTGTTTAATTTAACATTCCCTGCGAGCAGTGCTCGCGTGGTCGTCTATTTTTGCCACCCCTGGCTGTAGGGCTCACGAAAAACTATCTGATGATATCGCACAATTGCATTCCAATTTTGGTAAGCAAGTCAAATTTATATGATAGTTAAATTTATTAAAGAGTAGGTGAGCAAGTTGAAATTTGTAACTTACCAAGAGTGCCCCAGAAACAAAGTCTTTCTTGTTTCTGTGTCTGTACATCTACACAATTTCAACGCTTCTTGTAATTCCTGCACCTGCCGTCGATAACGATCTTCTAGTTTCTGATACGCATTGGCAACCTTCTGTTGCTCTTCATATTTTCTCTTCCAATCTCGCCTCTCACGTTCAAAATTTTTTTCCAGTTCTTCTTTTTGTTTTGTTAATACTTTCATTTGTTTCATGCATGTTTTAAGTTTATCCAGATTTTCAGTCTTGTTCGAATTATGAATGTTACATGACTTATCCCATGCAAAGCTTTCTAGACTGCTGTACAAGGAGGCAGCTAACTCTTGGTTTGCCTGGTGTCTTTCAGATACATCAAGAGGAATCAAGTTTATTCTTGCTAATCGTTCTTCATACATCTCCCTTGTGGTCCTGGTTTTGCCAAGTACATGATCCTTCTCTTGAATATTATCCTGTTCAAGTATACGTTCGCCGTTACTTTGTACTATCGCAGTGGATACATGAATAGCTGGCAAACTGCTGGATAATGGGATAGGTCGTAATTGTTCACTAAAAGGGGATTTCTTTATATATTTAAGATTTGGTTCAAAATCTACCTTTGGAACGAATCCAGTATTTGGTGTAAAATCTTCCTTTGGAACATATCCAATGTTTTTTTGAATATCCGCTGTAGGAACATAACCAATATTTTGTTTATTGTCTGTTGTAGGTATATATTCATTATTTGGATTACTGTCAACTGCAGGAACATATTCAATAGTTGGTTTAAACTCTACTCTTGGAACATAATCAGCCCTTGGTTTAAAATCTAATTTTGGATTGTTATTTTCAATGTCGTTTGTATAAACCGGCGGAGGAGGTCTCATCAAGATCTCCTCTGCACTGCTGTAAAAATTCTCTGGTAATGGAGGCCGTTCCGGTGGAATCTCTAACTCGTCATCCAAAACAGGTTTCTCTTCATCAGGTATCTTCCATACTTCATCCCTTTCATTTATGACGGGTGATGTTTTGAGACCTGTTACATCACATTTTTCTATTTTCTCGTCCACAAACTGTTTTTCTGGTTCAACCGGTTGTTTTCTCAAATACTCTATTTCTGCATCGCTATCAGGACTGGTAAATGATTTCTTAGAATCTTTTCCCCTTGGTGACCACTCCCCGTGAGGTACTTCGTGTCCCTGGTGGTCAAAACCAACTAAACCAATCGCGGTGTGACGCTTCCATTTCTGGTCTTCTTGAATGGGCGGTTTTGTCCTCAATTCAACTGTATGTCGCTTTGGTTTTACAGTAGTCCGTGCTTTACCAATACTTGCTTCATTCTTTACATTTAATCCTTCTTTCTCTTTAACTGGTTCTACGACTTTACTCCGTGACTCTACGCTTGGTAATTTTCTTGGCAACGGACTATCTGAGCTGGTTTTATTCCCGGCAAAGGTAACCTTTGCGGCATTTTGTTTCACATGCGATTGTTTCGTCTCAATTTCGGGAACAATTTTTACTTTAACCAAACGTCCTTCGTGTGCTTTGCCGGACAGCGGTCGCTTCATGGAAGCAGCACTTTTTGCAACTTCAGCTATCTGGATCTCGTGGATTTTTATTAGTTGACGCAGTCCTAACGGTTTAACTTCTTCAGTTCGGGTGATTTCCGAGCGACCTTGTGGATGTCCGCTGTCAAGTCTATTACCATTGTCAAGTCTACTAGTAGGCACATCGCGTTTACGAGAGGTAAAGCTGTCTTTCGCATAGACGATGGCCTCTTTATGACCATTTGTCTTTGTTCCAGTAGGCTTGTCTTGAACCAGTGCATTTAAAGTGACTTTTCCTTGCTTATCTTTGGCTGGCCTCTCAATTTTACTTGAACTGTTATCGGTATTTTCCTTCGACTCAAGGTTATCGGTATCACCATTTGCAACTCGTTGAATTTCCGAACGTTTAAACCCGGGAGTTTCGTCGCGTATTGAGATACCAGAAGCTTCACGAACTTTATAATCAGGTTTTCTACCTGGACTATCTTCCCAACACTCCTCAAACCTAACTCTACTCACATTAACGCTTCTATTATTTTTATTATCGACCTGATTTTCGTAAACATTCTGTATCTCAGGTACAGCATTACGGTTATTTGAAGGAAAAACTTTTTTTCTATCCGGCGATTTGCTCTTTGTTCCGTTCTGTGTGACGTCTACACGCGGTCTCCTTGCCTGTGCATCAGTTGTACTCTCGGAATGCCGTACAGCTGGATCAACTGTATGACGATAATCATCGTAGCCATTGCTCACACAACTCACTGTATACGATGCACTCACAGGCTGAGCTGTCAAGATTTGCCCGTCTTCGTGTTCATCAAAATGACGTTCTTTTGAATATTGTTCTGTATTTGTGGGTTTCCTCATTGCTCTGTTTTCTGTTGTTTGTTCGTCATCCGAGTTCAATGATCTATCAAAGAATAAAGGAACGCGCGGTCAATGTCAAGGATTACGTTGCATATCAAAGGATATATAAATATATACTAAATATACAGTACATCATTCTTCAAATTACTGAGATTTATATAACAAATAATACCGGATTAAAATACTGTAGGCGCACTATACTTAATCTTCAAAACACTTCCACGAATGCCAAATGGAAATTCAACACAGGGCTATAAAAACTTTGACCGTCTATTTACTGGAGTCATTGATGGGATATTTTAACCTTCCAAAGTTGTGGCATATTACATCGGGGATAAGTGCTGTAATACATGGATAAGCGCCGAGTGGAATTTTTGCAGATGTATTAATCTGCACAGATCAATTATTGACGTATTGTTCGAACATTTTCACACCCGAACCTGAGACTAATCTACTATGATAACATTGGCAATCAGATATAGACCATAAATAGCTGACAATTTACAATGACTTCTAAATACACTGCGAATGTTCAGTACATAGTTTGGCTTTATATTGTACCTACAATAGTCAATAGTATACTGTGTTACTGGCAGACAACTGTATACACCTAATATAGGATTTTACATGCAAAACCCAAAACTATAGTCGATAATTGAAGAAAATAAAATATAAAATAAAAACCGAAAGAATGAAAACATCTTGAAAACCCAAGATATATGGATCTATCATTGTACTCGAAATTTTGGTACTCTATATTAAACTGCATAGCCAAGGTTTAATCCTTGGAAAGGAAAGACGTGATTCACAAATACTCAGAAACAGAGTGAGTTTAAAAAGTACGAAACGAAAATAGGCTCATTACTCATAGGCTCTGCAACAAGGAAATTCCCGATGATGGGTCTTCGCTCGAAACGTCGAAAAATTGTCCTTATATTTTTCAGGTAATTCCATCCCTACTGACGAAAAATTGTTACTACTGGCACAGGCAGTTCAAGATCAACCTCACTATAGTCAGTAGCCAAAGGCAATTTTTCAGGATAAACATGGTCGAAAATCAATCATCTACTACATGCAAAATCTGGCATCACGGAAATTAAACTATATAGTCTATACCTCATACTGTATGACACGATCTTATCAAGATTTTGCTACTGCATGACCAATTATTAAACCTGACTCTGGCGAAAAAGATAGCAATATAATACCGAGTATCATTTCATGTATAGCTGCATGATGTTTAATGTTTGACGTTTGAACATGTTTTAAAAAAATAATGAGACACATGCAGATGAAAGTAAAGTAGCTATGTTGTTCCTTTTGCATTGTACCAATACTGTAAAACTTGTTACATTTGGCATTGTGACATGTACAGTAATATCAGTATCGCACTATTAATGTCTCAGTCATTTGAAATCCAACCCTCGGGATATGACATATGACAGGGAACTTAACGCTTGCCGAATGTTGAAAAACTGCTTTCCCACGCTCTGGCTCTGGGAGCAAGCCGTGTGTCAAAAGCCCGGTAATGGCGGTAAGGCTGAGCCTGGGCATCAGTATCTCAAGTTATTTCTGGACAAACTTAGACATAGCTTGGCGGCATTTTATACAAATTATGTGTTGTTCCGACCGACTTTTCTGTTTCAAGTAGACATTTTAACTTCGTCTGAAATCGTCTTTGGTGTTGCAGGCTTGGTAGCTAAGTGTCTATTTAATAAATGTGTTAAATGTGTGTTCATTCCCCGCTTTGGCTGTGCTGAAATCCTGCCATTTTCCGGGCGATGGACGGATGGAGGGTCGGGATTTCAAATGATCATGACCGATGCATAAAGCTAACAATACTGTATACCAAATACCTCAGTACATATATTTGTCATTTAGCATCTGCATGGTGGGTGATATACAAATTAAAGATCACGGCGTCATGATTACACATACACAATGATGTTATTTCATAGACAGGCATCAACAGGCTCTTTATAATATACCTTATTTTTCACCCTGCTCGGTTTCCTTTGTTCTTAGCGGGGAATATATTCAATAGTCCCCTCTAATCAATTTCCCTCTATATAATAATCCCCTCTAATATTCACCTGCAATGCAATGTCTTTGCAGCACAAAAAATGAGAAAAAACAACATCACGAAGGCAATATGGCATTAAGAATTATTTTTATTCTGACTCATTAACACGACCTCGCAATGTGAAAAATAAGCTAGTAAGTTATATCCCCTCGTTGCCTCAAAATAACTTATATTTATTTCCTCCATTTTGCCCCCAGCCTTTATTTAACATCCTCTTTCTAATAAGTCCCCACTGTAAAGGAACAAGCTCCCAGTGCACCCTCTATTTAGTCCCCATTTTAAAATATAGGACTACAGTATTGCAAAATATATGAACACTAAGGAAAAATATAACCCCTATACCCCCCATTTATGTTGGTGGTCATCATGTTTCTCGAACGAAGTCATATAAGTTACTGGGAATATGGTTAGATTGCGATCTTAAATGGAAAACTAATAAGGAATATATTACAAAGAAAGCGGCCAAGCGTCTGTATTTATTAAAGATCTTGAAGAGTTATGGTGCCCCCATGGAAAATTTGTTAGCATTTTACTGTTCAGTAATTCGTCCTATTCTAGAATATGGTGCAGAGATTTGGAACGGAGGTCTAACCCAAGAGCAGAAAAAGAGCATTGAACGAATTCAAAAACGAGTACTTAGAATAATTTACCCAAACCTAGACTACGACCAAGCAATAACTGAGACAAAATTACAAACTTTGGAAGAACGTAGGGACGAATTATGTGTATCTCTAATTAAAAAAATGCTGGAACCAAACCATAAACTTCATAGCCTCTTACCAAAGAAACTAAAATACATTAGGCAAAAAGAAACAAGAACTAACAGTCAGAAGTTATATAATTTCCCCTCTAAAACCGAACGTTTTAAACACAGTCCTTTAGTTTACTGTATATATTTATATAATTCTCCAGAGACTAGTTGATTAGGATCATCATTTTTAAAATTTTATCAGATAATGTACAAATAGGTATGCATTAGTAGTTTTTATACATATTGTAAATAGATATAGATTATTAAAACTTTAATTTTAATGAATGACATGTAAATATATAGAATATATACCTTTTTTATACCCAAATTTGTAAACACATAATTGTAAATTAGCGTAACTACTACTAAATGTGTTAATAAACCATTACCATTACCACTATTAAACATTGTACACTTAAGAATTGTCACCTGTTATTGAAAGCAATAATTTGGATGCCAAAGTTATAATAGTCTTGCTTTTTGTCAAAATTTTCGAGCTAGTTAAATTCACATGTGTTCGACTAGCTTTTCCTTTTTTACCCGGCAAATCTACTTGTTTCCGAAAGAGGTTAACAAATGTTTCAATTAAGTACCCTAATAAAATCATATATAAATGAATAAATATAGAATTTTTTATTTAAGTAAGGTTCAGGCCTTCTTTTCAGGTTAAAAATGATGTAATATGGAACGGCCGGATTTTGAGGGGAGGTGTCCCCACGGGTGTGCGCATCTCCCCTGAGATCGTTTTGCACCTCCCCTGAGAATTCCTGCACCTCCCCTGAAAAGTCATGCACCTCCTCTTGGGGAAGTTTCAAAGATACTGTATATCTAAGCGAAAATTTGACATTTTTGGATGCTTAGGGTCTACACTTTTAAGAAAGTTTTTTCTGTAAAATTGTAACAGTGATAGCCATTCGTCTCTGTGTCAAGTATCCTTTTAATACACTGTTTTGAAAGAAACTTTGTAGTAATTGTAATGAAGGGCAAAATTGGATGAGTTGTACAGTCATAATTCATTAATACATTGGATACATTATGTAGACTACATGCATACATCACGTCGTTGACTTTAGCACGTTCTAAGCTCTAATTTTCCATGCACACCTCCCATAATTTTTTCCTACCTCCCCCACTATTTCCACCAAAATCCGGTCTTGTAATACGGTTTAAAAGGTACACAATCATATTTATCATATTTTACTTGAAATAATTGTAGAGAATCTGGCAATATTTTCCAGATTTTCATGTTTGCTTGCAAATGCAAAAAAGCCATAAAAGTGGGTTTCAATTTCAAACTTTTTGAGCAAGGCTGATGCAGGTTGGGTATTTATCATTGCATATTTATCGATCTCATAGTATTTATCGATTTACTCATCAAGGGAAAAGCACTGGCACTCAATGGGTTATCAATCAGACTATCCACCAACAAGTCTAGTTAACCCATTAAGTTGCATTGTGCCCTCTATCCACCGTACTATATTATTTTTATACTCACACTATTTTTGCTTGTCAAGGCATGGGCAGATTTTGAGGGCAGGTGTGCACACCTCCTTTTGGGGAGGTGCGCACCTCCCCTGACATCGTTTTGCTGGGAAAGTTTCAATGATGGATCAAAGTGAAATTTGCTTAAGATCTGTAAAGTTTTTTCACTAAAATATAAACATTCATCTCTGTGTCAATTTTTGTAGTAATTGTAATGAAGAAACTAAGTTTGCAGTAATTGTAATGAAGAGCAACATTGGATGAGTTGTGCAGTCATAATCCATTAATACACCGATATAGTATGTACACTACATGCGTATATGTCACATCTTGATTTTGGCCCGTTCTACAGTTTACAGGCCCTAACTTTCCATGGGGGTCATGAGCTAGACCGCGCTGCACCTCCTCTAAATTTTTTCCACCTCCCCCACTATTTTCCACCAAAATCCGACCCCTTGTCAAGGGGAGAGTGCCGGTGCTCAAAGGCTCTGCATGTACACTAAACTGGAGCATGATGAAATCTACCGTTAAGTCATTGAATGATACTAAAACCCAGCTGGCAAATATTAAATGGCGTAGGTTCAACGTTGAATCAATGTCAGACTTCCCAGACGTTGGATATAGACATTGAAAAATTATTGAAAATGCAAATTGGATCAACGTTTCTCTGCTGACGTTGAAGCAATAGTGATATTTGGTTGCCAATCTCGTCAACCATAATTAATTCAATGTTGAATCTGCGTTGAAACAACGTTGAGATTACTTGACAAGTTAACTGTTGACCGACTATGAATTAATATTGATTCAACGTCTGTAGGCTGCTATTGAACCAACATTTGTAAAACAACATCAGAGCAACGTTGATATTAGGTTGTCGACATCACAACCTTTTTTTAATACCAAATTTCAACATTGAAACAACATCGTGTGTCTGGTGGAAAGCTAGGGTTTTAACAGACGACTTTGTTAACTAGAAGAGTCCAAGTTTAACAGCTACCTAAGATGCAGGGATCATCCACTTCCTCCATGCACCCCAGTGTTTGTAAAATATTAGTTGATGTTAATTTAATGGTTGGTTTTAATAACATGCAGTTGTTAAAGGTCAACAGTTAAAACCTAGCTTACTCAAACTCATTGCTTGACCCTGCCATACTCGCTACCTGTTTGCTCATTTGCCGATAACTCATTATTTCTCGTCGCGTAAATATTACAGTAATAAACTTAAGATATTGAGTAAAGTACCAATTATGGTAGGCAAATTTGATAACAATTTAATAGTGTGAATTAAACTCCGACGACAAAGAACGTAAACACTATAACTAGATTTGGGATAGTCTTACATCATTACACTGAAGTACTGTAGCAAAAACTGAGAAAACAATGTTTAACTAACAACTATTCTTTCAAATACTTTATTGATTTGTATATAAATATAGCGTGACATATAACCACATATTAGCATTGTTCTCTGAAAAATATATACTTTGTTTACCTTCTAATTGGCGGGTTTGTACTATAGCCGTTCATCCTAGAAGCCGTGCTCGAAGAAAACTCATCTTGTTCGTACGATTGGTTTCTTTGTTGCTGTTTTAAACGTTTGTTTCGAGACGGCTTTCTAGCGGAAACATTGACGGTATCCACGTCACTTTGCTTAGAACCTTGTTTTCGCCTTGTCTTACTTCTTGATCGTCGATATGCTGATCTTTCCAATTGAGCAGCGAGCCTACTTGATGCCGAACTGTCCGGTGTAGAAGATCGGCTATACCCATAATCTACATGTGTCATTTCTCGAGATCCATATGATTCTATTGTGTCCGATGACATGGACAACATTATTTCATTTTTCTTTTCAAACAAAGGGATATTTATACGAAGTTCGTAATATTTATTCTAACAAAACCTCAACATTTGCATATTATTGAATATATTTAGCGAGCGAGCACATTACGGTTGATAGCGAAACACTCCGAAGAAAGAATGATAGCGGTTCTGAATCTATTTTGTAATGATTTCTCTCCCCCGGATGACAGAAAAAATCAGGCTAATTCAGGGGGGGGGGGGGAGATACCATCTTTAAATATTCAATGGTGACAATGTGACATGGTGTTTTTAGTCTAATCACCCATTCTGTGTGATGATCTTGATCCGCCACAGGAACTATTTTCAGAGTGTTAATATCATATCATCCTACTACAGGCTAGCAAAGCAAAGGAGAAAGTGTTCTGGTCAAAACAAACAAATATACAAATACAAAATGGGAAGTGATAGTGAAAATCGTTTAGTATGGGTTGACCTAGAGGTACTTTAATATACAGGGCTGTAGCTAGACGCGATAATTGGGGTGTGTATATTCACGTATTCATGTTCACATACTGTAAAAACAATCGCTTTCAAAAGAAATCCGTCGGGCAGAACACAAATATATGAATATGACCCCCCCTCCCCCAATTAGCTAGCGGTCTAGCTACGGCCCTGACTTTATAAATAGATGTGATACATGGGCTGAGTGAATACATTGAGAGTTTTTAGCCCAGGTTGAATTTCAACCCTGTTAACCGAGCTGAAATTGTTTCCAGATTACATAAATAATTTGCAAGTTTCAGCGCTAGCTGGCTGAGGCTGCAGTAAAATTTCAGCACAACCAAGGGCGAATGGGTGAAATCGCGATCAGGCCTGGCTGAAACAATCGTGTTGCAAAAGATTGCTATTCCGCTTCTTCGAAGAATTTAAAAGCTTATCTGTGTCTTTTATTTGACTTGTGCGCGACCGTGGTTGTATTTAAAAATAGAACAGACACAAATTTGCTGAAACTGTGCTGAAATTTCAGTCCAGGCTGAAGTTTTTGTCATGTAATATATTTTAACAGGATTGTATCCTTAGACTGGATGGAAATTGAATTTCAGGCTAAAAACTCTCCATGTAATCAGCCCCTTTATTAATAAATTTATTCTTAAGCCTTGCTACCGTTGCATAATATGAACGCAACTATCAATGATTTGCAGATCTTTGCTGCAAGTGGTTTGCTAAAATGAAAATATCAAATTTCCCTATCAAGAATTTTCATGGTAGGGAAATGTGTTTCCATCATTGACAAACAGATTTTGTCAAGCTTCGTAAACTTGTTCTGTATTGTATGTATTTCTGTACGGTATTGTCAGACCTATAGCTGCCAGATCACCTGATTTTATTGAGCGTACTCAGCATTGCCCATGCAATTGTTTAGCAAATCTCCAAATCACTTTTATCAAAGCTCATGTGCAGTTTAACCACTTGTAATATTTTACAATATGACATGCATCATCAAAGATGATCGGCATCTACATGTTCATTGACTTTGCTGTAACCTTTGCAATGCTGTTGCCATCTTCCAGACTAGTGCACATATGAAAGGCATTCACCTCCTTGAAATTAGTCTTATGACCAACGTTCAGGGGGTGAATGTCTGTTATAACCGCACTGGCTTGGAAGATGGCGACAGCATTTTGATGACAAATCATTGTGAGTTGACCTTCTGTTTGTCTCTATTCTGTGTCCATGGTATGTGCCGTTTTGGCACTGCATGAATACAGTACATGTATGTACCATAAGCTATGCAAGTGTTTGAGTCAACTGCCTCGTGTGATATATAATGAATAAATTGTAAATTGAAAATTTAACCCATTGAGTTGCATTGTGCCCCAATGCGCCCTAAATTTTTTTTTTTTTTTACTCTGTCTAATGCCAAAGAATTTAAAAATTTACACATATGTCTAGTTAACCCAATGAGTTGCATTGTGCCCCAATTTATTATATTGTTTTCTTTGTACCCTACGAAATTATTTTACTCTGAGTGTATAATGCCAGATATGACTTTACTAATGGCAAAAGCGCTACTGCGCTAGCTAGAGCTATTGGGTTAATATATTAATTTAGTAGCACTATAAACATGATTTAAAATTTTTAATATTATTTTTTTCTTTTTAATTAATACCTTGTGCTGAATGATGAATATCTTGATGTAAATATATTCTAGATGACAGGTGGGTTCAATTTAAGATGTAATAACAATTATTATGAACTTAGGTTTTTCATCCATGAAAGTCTCATATCAGTACTAATATATTAGCACTGCTGACTGTCCCAACACTTATTTAATTTAACAAAGCAGAAATCTCTCAGTCTCATGCAGAGGATCAATTAAATGTGATACCCATTAAAGTGGTATAATTATCACTTATGTACTGAGACCGAGGGAAACAGTGTGTTTTGTGGACCCGAGACTGCTGTTGTTGCCTGAGGCAAAGCCGAGGGCAACAGCGGCGGTCGAGGGGCCACAAAACACACTGCTTTCCCGAGGTCTCAGTAAATGGGTTGTTCCAGAAAAGATCCATACTCTCCCCACGGAGGAAATTTCTGCCGTCCAGAGGGGGAGGGGAGAAAAAATTGTTTCTGATAATAGTAAATGCATTAGGACATCCGAAGGGGGTAGGGGGGTTAACTTCCTTTTTCCTCCATGTGGGTGGTGTGGATGTTTTCTGGAATGACCCAATAAGTGTTTTGTTATATAGTATATAAGTGTCAAAGTATGAATAATTCACCGGTTAGTGGAGTGAACTTAATTTGAAGCCAAAACTGGATAAATGGAACGCCGTAAATGTTTAGTAAAAAGTTAAAAAAATGAACTTTGGAACTTCATGGTTGACACGCGTGCGTATTGCACCCATTTTATTATTGACCTGTCCATAAATGTTTCACTTCGGACCGGTTGCCGAGCATGACGTTTTGTGGACCGGCACGTGATACGATTTTGACCAATCGGCAAAAAGAAAAATTGAACTTTGACACCAACTATATAACAATTTGTATTTATTTATGTATACATGATTGACCGGTCAAATTATGTCCGCAAGTGCTTGTACTTGAAAGTACTATTTGGACTATTTCTCTTCACACCCACCCTCCCGTAATGTGTGGCCCTGTTTGTGGTACACATTTTTAGTGTGCATGGGCATTAGACAGTGTACATTACACCAACACAGCAAATATCATGATTATTAGATTACACTGATATCGAAGGAACTAGACTCAGTTCCAAAATATCGCATATACTCGAACCGACCTGACCGCGTAGCTCAGTTGGCAGAGCGTTGGGCTAGTATTTCCAAAGGTCGTAGGTTCGATTCCCACCGTGGCCAGGCATATTTTTCAACCCTGCCCGGTGTGGATATACACTCAGAGTAACATCACACAAGCATGAGCATTCCTCTACGAAATTCATCCTCGTACCCATGCAGGGTCTTTTTTGGAGAATAAAGAAAATAGCCTGGGTACGAGGTTGCACGAGATTTTGTGTCTCAGAAGTGAAGCAGTTTTCGACAACTTTTTGAACAAAATTATACAGAAAAACAGGTTTTTAATGGAACATTCACATTAAAAAAGTCAAATTGTGAAAAAATCATTGTCAGTGGAGGAAGATTGAGTTTCAAAACTCAATTGAACATTGAGTATTTACTACCGTATACCGCTGTCCAGGTCAGGGCTTGCAAAATTTTGAAAAAAGTGGTTGCCCTTGGGGCAGGCAACACTCACAATTTGGTTGCCCGAGTCCATTTCTCACTTGCCTACATTAAATTAGATAAAAATAAAAGAATGGAGCTGAATGAACCACAACAAAACCGGTGTTTATTTAACTGTTAATAATTAGTTACAATTGCTACTGTGTTACAAGTTACTCTTACCTCCGGCGCCTTTAACGAGACGCGCTTTTTAACGCGCGCCTCGTTTGTTTTACGAGTATGAAATCGCGCGTCTGTTTTTTTTGTTCTAAATGAATTTTTGCCGGAACAAATCCTCGCCATTTAGACAAGTTATAAAAGAATGACTGATTTAATGCTGATGAAAGGAATCAAATGATTTTTGTTAAAATTGTTAAAATGTTAAAATTGTTTTGTTCTACATAAATTATTAAATTTTCACTCAGTTTTGTGAATGTTATTCTAGTCTGTATAGCCAATAAACGTAATTTTTACCATTCAAAACATTTGAATAAAATAATTTAAATCAGTTCTCGATAATTTAAATCAGTTCTCCGCATTAATAATCTTTGAGGTGAATCAGCTTGGGCGCTTATTTACTCCTTGCAAAAAACTCGCAATCAAGTAAATATTCTGGACAATTTTACTGAAATATCAAATCAGTATTCTGACATCATACAAAAAGGTAAATGGCTATCTTTTGACACAGCTTTATTAACACTCGATGACGGAACAACAAGACATTAAATACACAAAATTTAAAACGATCAAAACACCAAAGTGTGGTTGCCCGTCGGGACATTAGTCAAGAAATTTTAGTTGCCCGACACAAATGCCCCGGGACGTCGGGCAGGCGATTTTGAAAGCACTGGTCCCAGTTGATTTGCACCCCCGTAGATTTGGATTCCCGGTCCATATCCACTAGTACCCGGGTCCAAATCTACTAGTGGATATGGACCCCCGGAGGCTTGTATAATAATATATATGTATATAATTATGTAAAATACTTGTATAATTTTGAAATTGGGTTGGGTAAAATAAAAATCCAAGTCATGCAATAGTTGGGTAGGGAAAAAAGTGGTTGATCGAAAGGGTGGGTGGTTGTTTTTTCTCTTTTCGATTAGTTTCTCTTCGGTACCAACCCCGGGTATAAATAATGAACACTCCCTAATATTATGATAGATATCGTTATTCTTGCCTGGATCAAAATTTCGTCTATAGGTGATTTCATCCATTAATATCGAGTAACCGATATTAAAAAGTTGATATACCACAACAGCTGCTAAAGTTTACAAAAGAAACGAATAGAATAAGTTATTCCTGCCGATTAAAATTTGGTGAAAAAATGAACAAATTTCCTTAATTAGTAATAAAATCTAGTTACAGTAATAAGTATAACACTAACACTAACACTAACACTAACACTAACACTAACACTAACACTAACACTAACACTAACACTAACACTAACAGACATATTAAACTGACGCTCGATACATTGTTTTCGTAGGGTTGGATGATGAGAAAGATACAATCTTGGAAATTGCTTGTTTAATCACAGACACTAATCTAAAACTTGTTGCAGAGGTAATGGATTATTTCAGCTGAATATTACTGTACATATTTAGTGTGAAAATGCATCACACTTAAACATTCTACAGTGTAACGTTGACTGCTAAAAAAATGCATTTTCGTGCGCAAATCGGGAAATTACGGTAGCTGAGCGAAGAATGAAGTGCGGTACGTATTGTGTATATTGGGAACTTTCAGCGCGCGTGTTCGTGTTCGCATGTTCCTTCTTAAAATAATTATTTAACAATGGTCTCCACATCACCAACTGTTCGAAATTGGTCAAAACCGTGTAGCCATTATACCGATCTCTTAAGACTCAATTCCTTCTCTTACTTTCCTCTGCTTTAATCCACTTTCAGTTGTTATCACTCGTGCCTTTTCACAATCAATCCCACTCTCGCAATAAACGCTATGTCTCGCCTATTGTTAAATCTATTGTTTGAAATAAAAATGTAAACAAAACACGCGCATGAGCAGAACGGACTTGACAGCCTCTTTAAATATCGTCGGTCATACATGTAGGCAGCCCAATGGCTAGGCGTGTCAAATATTTTACTAAAATATTCAAATTTCTAAAAAAACTGTGCCTGCCTCGTTAAATTTGGCAAAAACGTAGTAAATTTTTACTTGAACTGTCTGTGCCAGTGTAGGTAGTGGCAATAATATGAACACGCTTTCGTTGCTAGGGATGCAACTACCTGAAAAATATAAGGAGAATCTCGACGTTTCGAGCGAAGCCGAAGGTCCTTCGTCGAAATTCTTGTCGAAATTCTCCTTAATATATTTTTCAGGCAGTTGCATCGCTACCAACGAAAGCTTGTTCGTAAATTTTTACTAGATACCAATGCAGTTCTGCAGTTCTGGTTGCTTGCATGCTTACGGGTGACGTCACACACTGCACTGTAATTAGTTCTATTTATTCCTAAGGACACGGACACGCCCAGCCATTGGACTGCCTATCGACGTATGGTCTGGAAGAAAATTAAACAGTTTTACTTACCACATGTGTTGAGTGTGCATTTTTCCTACCCCTCCCTCGACCCGACCATAAATACTGACGTAATATAATTTACAGTACTTCATTAGTAGAAGTATTTACTCTACCATTTCATGTTTTTAGGGGCCTGATATTATCATTCACCAACCGAATTCTGTCCTACAATCGATGGGTGATTGGTGCAAGAAACACCATGGCGAGGTATAGAAAGTGATTTGGGCGTGGCATGCATGTGAACATCACGCATTAGAATCATATCATTTTCACCCACCACAAAGCACACATACCAAATTCAACTAACATTCACACTGTTCCTAGACGAAATAATCAACAGATTTTTTCGCACAAAACATGTATAATTCATCAAAGGAACAGAAATGAATATTTATATGCGAGCACGTAGTTCCAAGACCAGCTAGCGGGGTCGAAACGTGCTTTCCCGGTTATGCTTGGAGCCTGATGAGAACATAACCTTAGTTTTGAACACAAAACACATGGGACTTGATCTGGGTGGCGATACATTGGCATTCACCCAGGTCTTGGCATCATCACAATACATCTCACATTATAAACGCACCCGGGTTATGCCTGCGCGATCTTCACAAAAACAATCAATCGAGTCATACACGTCACAGTTTTACTATTCATGTCTCATTTTAGCTTGAATGTTCAGACTTATGTATCACTTATATTTCATATAATTTTACAACTCATATATCACCAGTATCATCACTTTATATCTATGTTATAAATCAAGCTTCACCAACATCATCACAGTCCATGCATCATCATAACATAATTCACTAAAATCATCATTATCTATACCATTCCAATTCTATCAGTCACACTGAATCGAAATTTCATTTCACTCCACACATCATTTGATGTTCACCCAATAGAATGTTCCAACAGGTCCAGCAGGGCCATTTCACAGCATTCCAGGATCTGAATACCTGCAACCACCTTTTTGATCCAATTCTAAAAAACAAACAACGAAATATCACTAACTCGAACGACTTGACCTCGTAGCTCAATTGGTAGAGCATTGGACTAGTATCCCAAAGGTCGCGGTTCGATTCCCACCGTGGTCAGGCAAACTTTTCAGCTTGCCCGGTGTGGATGCACACCCAGAGTAACATCACAGACTTTACTTGTTATTGCACTTTTTCCCCAGTGGCCTCGTTGTCATACCGAGTGAACAATATTTTTAAACTACGTGACAGTTTCCATGTTACAAATAATATAAGTTCATACTTTTCAGTCGGGCTTAACAAAAGCTGTGCAAGAATCAAAGATAAGCATGGGAGAAGCTGAAGATACGGTGTTTAATTTCGTCAAGAAATATACGAAGCCTAAGAAATGTCTTCTTGCTGGAAATTCAGTTCATGTAGACAAAGTATTTCTGAACAAATATATGCCAAAATTCGTGGACCATCTTCACTACAGGATTGTCGACGTTAGCACAGTCAAAGAACTTTGCAAGTAAGAAATTTCATTTTAATGGGTATACAGTTAGAAATAAAAAAGTTGTTAAAACCCAGGGTCACGTTGAACAATATAATAATATATGCCTGGACACTTCCTGCATTTGCTTCAGTTCACGCACGAAACAATATCTCGGGGAAGACAATCTGATCCATTGTTACAGTTAAGTCATTGCCAGGCTCGACCTCGTACCGTCTCGTGTGTGTTCGAGAAAAATTGCAGTAAATTGAAATAGAGTTGCAATGGATAATAATAATAATAGCATTCCACAAGTGGCTCTTCTATGCTAAATTACAAAAAGGAGAACGAAATTACAATACTATACACCTATGCTGGTTGAGCTCAAGTCAACTTTGCCGGCCTACCGCCGATGTAACTGTGGCACTGGAGGCAATCGGCGAACAAATGTTCACATAATTTACGTTTTACAGCTACCACCGACATCGTCGCCGGCATATATGTGAACCAGGCTTAAGATATTCTGGAGCTGGGTGACATACCACGTCATTATAGTCAAGAACTGACAGGATGACATCTAAATCTAAAACAGGCGTGGCTTTTTAATGCAGGATGCTTTTTAATGCAGGATGACAGCTAATGCAGGATGACATCTAAAACAGGCGTGGCTTTTTAATTCCGAACCGTCGATCAGTGTACTGTAGGTTGCGACCACTGAATAGACAGATTTAGATCGAGGACGCGGACGTCCAAGACGACGTGGAAATGGTGTGTCATATCCATACATGGGCACAACACGCCATTTTCATGTCGTCTTTGACGTCCGCGATCTAAATCTGTCTAATATGTAATAGTAGACAGTGGTAGCGACGACGATAAGACAGCTGCGGATTGAGAGAGATACAACTACCTGAAAAATACAGATAGAACTTCGACGTTTCGAGCGAAGGCCCTTGTCGGGAAGTGCTATAAAAGCTAAATCATGTAATTTTCCCGACCCACGCTATAACTTTCCCACGAAGAGCTTTCGCTCGAAACGTTGAAGTATAATGCTTGTATTTTCCAGGTATAGTTGTAACTCAGTCTCTCAATCCGCAGCTGTTTCGTAGCTATTTAATTCCATGTACAATAAGTAAGTGGGGGTATGCTATAGTCATGTAGCTGAAAAGCCAAGATGAATTACAAAGCCAAAGGAGGCAGCTCAACCTGATCAAGTGGAAGATTTTCTAAGGACGCCTCTGGCAGCCACCTTGTGTCTCATGTCTGTGTTCACATAGACTTGCTCCAAGTCTCTCTTTCATTGTCATATAGTATCGATCCACTATAGTGTACATTACATGACGTAGTACGGAGGGGCGGAGCGAGAAAGAGAGACTTGTCAACTTCGGAAAATCTCGGTTCAAAACTGAACCGAAAATGCAAGACTTGCTTTAATTGTTTTCTTTCAGTGTTTATATGTATTGATCTAGCACAGTGTAAATAACATGAGTTCCATAATAGTAAATAATACAGAAAGGAATTGAAGGAAAACAATTAAAGCAAGTCTTGCATTTTCGGTTCAGTTTTGAACAGAGATTTTCCGAAGTTGACAAGTCTCTTTCTCGCTCCGCCTCTCCTTGCTACGTCATGTAATGTACACTATAGTGGATCGATATGACAATGAAAGAGAGACTTGGAGCAAGTCTAGTGTTCACATAGCTACGATGGAATTATAGGGTCAGTTGTTAATTTAGGAATTAATCACAACCCACCCTGTCAACATTCCCTGTGGGAGGAAACCCGACTGTTTTCACATATAACACGGGGGAATGTTTGCTACAACTTGCAACGCAATTTCGGACACAGAGCCATAAAAAAATAGTCTAAAAAAATAGTCGCAGAGAAGTTAGAGCATGACCCCAGTTCTACTGTACCAACATTTAACAATTATTCGCCGAAGGCGAGGTGATTATCGGGGAATATTCGCCGAGACGAAGTCGAGGTGAATATTCCCGATAATCACCTAGCCTGAGGCGAATAATTGTTTTAGTATTTTTACACAAGCTTTTGTGTTTTTTGAGACTGAATTTATTTTAATTTCGCTTCTTTGTCAGTAAACTTCCACAAAACAGGTATAGCCGCCTTTTTTAAAATTTCTGTTTTGTTATATTCACCTATAACACCTGTAGGTGAATATAACAGCTTATTACGTCAAATTTGACCAATCAACGTGTAGGATTTGTTATGTTCACTTGTGCAAAAATACTAACTTCGCATATCAACATTCTCTAAAGGGATGAAAAATGAAAGAAATAGGATACGTTGGTAATGTAAATCTCCGGTCATGCACAATTTTCCTGCGAGAGTACTTTGTAGATAACATATAGCTCTATGTTAGAACTTGCGTTCGTGCAAGTTGCAGCAAAAAGTGCCTCCGTGTATCATCATGGCCTTTTAATAGTGTCATGAGGGTGCAGCGAGAATCGAAGCCACGATCTCAGAGGTGACGGGCACTACCTCCGACGACTGCGCCACCAAAGCCCCTGTAGAAACACCGAAGTGTATTTAAAAGTTGGGAAACATTCGATTGTTTTCTTTTGTTGCAGGTATTGGTATCCAAACACATACGTAAGAGCCCCAAGGAAAGCAGGAAACCACAGGTACCCCAGTTAACTTTTTAACTGCTAGAAAAGATGACAATGAAAACATTGTTGAAATGGTCGTGTTTGTCTTCGACCATTTTTCAAGTGACTTCATGCATTGTCGTTGGCTGACATCGTTTAAAGTGAACAAACAGTTTTATAGGAGTGTCCGAAATTGGCTAAAAACGGCCAGTCAAATGTCAGTGCTGTTAAAAAGTTTTTCAGTCAAAGTATGTGATGTAAACTTAAGACAGAGTACCTGTTTCGTTTCGTGATGACTGAAATTGAATTCTCAATGGTTCGAAAATTAACAGCAATTCACATCGAAACAATACTAGCAGGGTTCCCAATAGATGCCGGCACCTGGCGATTTTCGTCTTCTCCCCCTCCCGGTCCCGCGCCTTGGCGAGGTACTTTCGGCTCCATATAGCCGCCTACAGTACTTCTTTCAAAAAGCCTCCTACTCCAAATTCTGTTGGGAACTCTGATACTAGGTTAGATTTTAAATCAGTACATTATAGTACAGTGACAAATCTGATAGATCAGAACTTTTCGTTAATGCATCAAGTTACTGGCTCAAGTTTAATGTTACATGTTTGATAAAAGGATATAGAGAATCAGTTAAAAGAATCAATCTCAGGAATGATTCTCAAGTAGGATTCAATGATTCAATCTTAGGATTCAATAATTGAATCCTAAGATTAAATCATTGAGTCCTACTTGAGAATCATTGAATCCTAAGATTGAATAATTGAATCCTCGATTGAATAATTCAATCCTAAAATTGAATAATTGAATCCTAAGATTGAATCAAAGCAATTGTCATTCTTTTAAACAACCCTGAAATAGCAATAGTGAATTCACATTAAACACCCCAAACTACTTGAACGTTCTACTTTGTTGGCGTGGTCATGACATAGATATCTTATATACACTAGATAGTGCATCTAATTATTCTGCAATTCAAAAATTGAAGACGTGATTGCAGACTCAGGATATTCCCATGAAATGAGAACATTAAGTTAAACCTATTCCAAATACATTTTCAAACTATTCAAATGATGAAAGTTATTGTTGTTTTTTTAAGTGTTTATTAGCGAGTGGGAAACTTCAACATGGCCGCCATCTATTCAAATGAGGGTAACCGCTGGAATATTCTTGGCTTCAATTTTACTAAAAAAGACGCGCTATCTAGTGTATATACGATATCTATGGGTCATGAGCCGTGAAGATGATGTAAATAACGCAGCAGTTTGAACAACTACGGCGTATTATAATGCTTTAAGGATTCAAATTATAGTCGCTTTCGCCGAAGATGCTATTGTTGATGAGCACGTTCTCGTTGCCGTTGTATTTGCCAAACTCTCTATTAGATGGCATGGGGACGCGAAAAATTGTGCACGTCATCATGAATATTAATATCTCACCCTCATTTACTGAATATTTAATTACCTCAGCGGCGCCCCGGTTTTATGATGCGGCACCCTGTTTTATGCTAATGATAATGCGGCACCTCAGCGGCGCCCCAAAAATCCGGATCGAATGGTGCCTATATTACTATACTCGTGCCTGTTTGGTCGTTATGTCAAGCCGCGAAACGTTATCATTACTAGAGAACTTATATATTCTTATATGAGCAGTTAAATGAATGGCTCGTAATACTGGTTTCGTTGCGTTCGTCTAGAGCTCTGGATGACATCAAGGAAAGCCTTGAAGAACTGAAGTTTTACAGATCAACAATATTTAAATGAACATTTTGTAATGGTTACACTTCTGTGATCTTGCTCGTGATGGCAAAAAGCAATAATGGAAATATTCTACCGAAGCAGACAGACTTTTGGACAGTTGAGGTATATCGCCAACTATACGGATGAAAGCTGTAAAGCGGTTTGACAATTGCTCAATACAGGAAATAAAGCAGTCGTAAAGATAAGAAGATGGCGCTTCACCAAAATTAAGCCACTGTCCGAAAAACAAACTGATTGGATTTTGCTTTCCATACTAGCTTAATTACTATTGTGAACATTATCTTTATGAATAAACCATCCAAGGTGAATTCACTTCGTAATGTTTCAAATTGTTTAAAAAAAGCGCGACTCGTGTGATGTGATATTATTCATCTTCAAAGAAATTTTACCTAACGAGCTGGCAACTCGATGGCGTTCTGTTTCTATATACTGAGCATGAAAAATATAGGGTAGTTTAGCGAATAGTAGACATATTATGATGCATTTACCTTCTCCTACATGACTCACAGCCATCGGAATTAGGCAAATTTTTCTGAGTGTCATGGATTAACTGAGGATGTAAACGAACTTAAATGATAAAGAATGACAACAGACAAGTGTAGAACGTCTCTTCTTTTTTTTTTCGAAAGAAGACCAAACATATAATAACTGCATGGCTGTAACAGGAAAGAAACAAAATTCGTAATAAAAAGGTAATGAAAACTTGATGTTGGGCCAAATCCAATAGCTATATACAAAACTGTAAAGATATTTTAAGGACCGTTTTCACTTGAAATTGCTGCAATTGCTTGTGTCATTTTCTCTAATGGATGTGAATGAGTAGACGAGCTATGAATATTCTGAGTGCATGTACACCAGAGGTGTGCATCGGATCGGATTGGACGTTTATATAATCCGACAATTGGCGAATGTTTAAAATCCGATCCGAAATTGTCTAATCCGAATCCGATCCGAGCTTTGATAAAGAATTTCGATCCGATCCGAAGAATCCTTTAATAAAACAAAATTTCTCATTCAAGTTGAAATATTTAGCCAAATAAATATAAAAGCAAGAAGTACATGTCAAGAAGCTGACAAAGTGACGTCCAATTGGAGTATCAAACGAATAATGCAGCGACAACCGCGATAATGCTTTGATAAATGCATGGATAATTAATTCTTGCAATAATGCGTGGATAATTAATTCATTTTATTTCGAATATCGAAGTCCGATCCGACTGCGAAACAACTTTATCAATCCGATCCGAAATGTATATTTTTGTTCCGAAATCCGATCGGATTCGGATCGGATTTGCACACCTCTAATCTTCATCTCAACATTCATACAGTAACTCGTGCACATCCATCACATGAAGAAACCTCTCCTCTCGTGAACGGCCCTTTGGGAATCAAGTTATGACTAGGCATTCTGAAACTTTTAATATACTTGTTGTACTACAGTATATGCTGGTACTGTAAATAACTGTAACTGTACTCCAGTTTGTAATTTTTTATAATTATAGTTTGTCCCATTGATTTGCATTATCATGACCATCAATGTCACCAAAACTTTTTAATCATCACCCATAGAGGAAGATGCTGTATCAGTGAATTGCGCGAGCTTGACATCGTTTAAAGAAAGGCCACCACAAGAATGAGTTGAATATGTAATCTGGACTTTATTGTAAACATTAAACCATTCTGGATGGTGATCCATCTTCTCAGCTTCAAGTGCCACCCGTGTCATAAAACCAAATGCACGATTGAAGTTTTTAAATTTGAATTCTTTATGTATGGCATCTCTTCCATCAACCATTTTCCATCCACTTTGAAACAAAGGCTTTAACAATGTCTCCCGTTCACCCTCGTCAAGTTTTCCAGGTCGAGCCGACTAAATTGTATATTATTTGAAAAACATATTTTAGGTGGGTAATCTTAACCGTTGCAATTCCCATAATTTGATAGTATTAAAGTGCTAATCTCGCTAGCCTTTTTGTACATGCCATAAGACGGGCCTGAAGAGGTAAAATGTGGGATTTTCCTATTTTTGGACAGGGAGAATGGCACATCACTCATTCACTGGGCTACTGGGAATGGCAATGACAGACAAAACATGGGAAAACCCATGCACATACCATTTAAAGACATGCAGTTGCACTTGGACATTTCGGAATTTAAATAACCTCTGGGAAAGTTACAGAGCACTTTTGATTGGGAGTTTATCGAAATGTGTCTGGACTGGTAGACTAATAAATTTGCTAATTGCTTTATTACATTAATTCAGGTACACAAACACAGAGCTATTTGAAAACAGCGTAGAAAAGTCACAATAAGCCATCGCTAATTCACTCTACGTTGGAGCGAAATCGTTTGAAAACTTTCACGTCACTTTTGCCGTAACAATTTGAGCACGGTTTCTAAACGGGGCGAGGTGAAAACGGCGGGGCGAGGTGAAAACGGCGGAGCGCTTGATAGCTTCGTGTGAACACAAACGTGTAAACTTGAATGCTTTTCAGTTAAATTTCTTGGGTCTATTTGAAATATTTTGGGTTTACACGAGTGCTAATTCAATTTGTAAACAAACTGTAATGGCGGTAGTATGAACACACGTAAATTCTGCCCGCATT